GTCTGCCACAGGCTCCTTTTGGCCAAAGAGAGGAGAAGGGTAGGAACAGATATTTCTGGAAGCCTATGCGGTTGGGCTGTACAGAAGTAGATGGGCCAGGTATGTAACCTTGTGGTGCTGAGGGATTCAGTGGCAAATCTGGTAAACAAAGAGATCAGTCCAGGAAATCTCAGGAAAGAGCCCGTAGTTACAGTATAACCATGCTTCATTTTATATAAATTAGAGTTTATACTGACCATAAACTAGTTTGTGTAATTCTGATTAGCTTGTTATACCTGTTAGCTATGTTACCTTGGAGTTCTAGGTTTATTCGGCTCAGTATAGTAAAGTGAGATATTTTTGTTCCTTAACAGAGGCAAGAGAGGTCTAGGTAGATACAGACATAGGTCTGGGGCAGATAAAGAAATAGAGAAATGAATGATCAGTTAATTGATCTATTTTTTCCCTCCTGCATCTAACAGGCATAAGTCTAAGAAAGACATTCTGTGTAATTTAATTGGAAATGAATTTTAATTGGAAATGACACTTGAGATATTAGGTAAAACAATTGGACTGTTGCCCTTGGAAGGCACTTAAGAAACTGGAGCAGGGTCTTGGAGAGCAGAGATTAGTATTAGTGATGCTTTTTGAATGAATGAATGCCCCAGACAAATTGTGGTTTACAGGAATTGGGCTAGTTGGTACCTGCGTTTTGCCAGATCTGGGATCCTGTGGTCTTGGGAGAACCCTTGCAGTCAGAATAGACAGCGAGGGCTCAGCGGCTGGCCACACAATACTGTCTCACATCCAAACGCGTGGTGTCGTCAGGTAGCAGCAGTACTTGGCGACACTGAAGAGAGATGTGAATGTCCTGAGAATCTTGAATGACCTCCCTCGTGGAGCTCATGGGCCATGAGGCATGTAGGGAGCGTACTGTGCTGTCTGCATCAGTGCTCTTGCATCTTGAGCTTATTAAAAATTGCCAATCAAACCGGCAATTTGCTGACAAGGTTCATGCGCTGTGACCATAACTGCAGTTGTTCTCGGGGAGTGGCTTGTTTGTCTGCGTGGTGATGGCTGCTGCACGCGTTCCCTGTGCTGTCCTGTAGGGTCGTGGTGGCTTTTTGACATTCGGGTCAGTCTCTTTTCCTTCTTTCTAGATGGGCTTTGGAGTTGGGAGGGGGAAGCTCAGGGTTGGAACTGACCAGACATACGTGAGATGTTAACCTGTTAGTGCCTCTCTAAAGTTTCATTTCTGAAGTCTTTTGCGGGGAGGGAATAGGGTGTGTAGGTTTATGGGGTGATTCGAGAATCCTCATTTTATGGATGAAGAAACTGTGGTTCAGAGAAGGAAAGAGGCTTGTCCAGAGTCATGTGGTGAGCTGGCTGTGCGACCAGCCCTGCACCTCTTGTAGCAGGGTTTAAATCGCACTTCTCGCAGGGGAGAGTACAGTGTGCTGGGCTCTGGAGCCAAAGGCTTGCACGTGGCTATAGGCACAGCCACTTATATAAAATGTGTAAAATGGGCATCGTGGTCATATTTGATGTCAAGCATTTAAAAAGCTTTGTTGACTACAAAGAATTACAGAAGTATTTCTTCTTATCATATTTATGTTTATGGACCAGGAATCGGTGGGACCATCTGTAGAGAGAGGGTGGGTCAGTGAAGACGTGGTTGACTACACCCCAACAAGAACACTCCCCCAAATTTCACTTCCCCACTGAGTAGTAAAGAGAATTTGCACTCAGATTTGGGGGCATGGCACGGGGGTTGGGGGGAAGTATGAGCCAAATCTCAAGAGTTGTGTGGAATGGGGGGTACACCCTTGCCTGGAGCCAGGGATTCATGCAGCAGTAGAATGGGAGATGGGGCTAGAAGGATGGATTGGTGCCCATCCTGGAGGCCTGGAGGCTGGCCTGAGGGCAGGTGGACATTATTTTTTGTGTGATTCAGAGCCCTGGGGAGGGGTCAGCTGGGAAAGTCCCGATGAAATGCACCTTCAGGGTGTGCAGGGAACCTGTTGCAATAACTTAGGTGATCGGCAGGGAATCCTGAAATTGGGCCTTGGGCCTCAAGACAGGGAGATTCCCAGGTTTGGGGTAAATTCTAAGTTATTTTTTTGATAATGGTTCAGTTTTTTACTTGAGGCTGTAATGGAAGTGCTAATATTTTGTATAGGTGTAGAGTTGTGAAGTTTTCAAGAGTTTTTACGCTTATTAACTCCTTTTTTTCATACGACAAATTTGGAAGATGGGATTGTTCTCACCCCCGTTTTGCAGGCAAAGAAATTGAGGCTCAAAGAGCAGATGGAATTTCTCAGGCCACTCAGCGGTGGGTGTGGAAGCTGGGAGTGGGGATGCCAAGTCTAACACTTCCACCTGTGCCAATGACCTACAGCAGTGGTTCTCTGGAACTCACTTTTCTCCACCTTTCATTGTCTTGCTTATCATTCTCAGAAGTCTAAGATGGCTATGAGTTTCAAAGATTCCAGAGACAAACCGCAAGCTTTTCAAAGATGAACTATAGAGAATCTGGGGCAGAAAATGTGTTTCTCCCAGTAACTCTTTATTGTGATCATATTATTTGTACAGGTTGACTATGCCCATGAGAACAAGGATGAAAAGAAATGAGCCTTTTGCTACTTATTGGGCATCTTCTTTGCCCTGAACTTAATGGTAGGCTTGTAACTTAATGGTAGGTTTGGTCTCTCAGTGAGAGTAAAAGGGATTATCACAGTACTTTTAAAACTTTTTCTTTCTTAACAGCAGAACTTTTCCTTTAAATGAATGTTTTGAAGATGTTTAGTTTGTTCCTTCCCCCACTTTTCACCTGCAGTGCTACCTGCTTTTCCAGTTGTGGACTTGGGTAAATTTATGGATGGGGTGATCAGAATTCAGCACTTACTGTGGCATTCTGCTTACTAGTTTATTAAATTAGTTAATTTTCATAAAAGCCTTAGAAGGTAGATAAACAATATTATTTTCCATTTTACAGATGAGAAAACTGAGGTTTAGAGAGATTAAATAACTTCCTTGAGAGAAGATAGGTCCTGAATAGATTGTAATCCAAGTTTTCTAACTTGAGACCACTTTCTTCTTCTACACCTATACCATATATTGCCTCTCTCATGGGTAAGAATACAAAGCTGCTTGCTAAGAAGGTGCATCTCAGACCTTGGATGTTACTGGAATCAGAGATAGAAGGTACTGTGAAGAGCTCAGGAGACTGGTGGTTTTTAAGCTGTGTTCTCCCAAGCCTGGGAGACTCTAGGAGCGGCCTTGCGGTTGGGGTGTCTAAGAAGGTGAAAAGTGGGGGAAGGAACAAGCTAAACATCTTCAAAACATTCATTTGAAGGAAAAGTTCTGCTGCTAAGAAAGAAAAAGTTTTAAAAGCACTGTGGTAATCCCTTTTACTCTCACTGAGAGACCAAGCCTACCATAAGTTACAAGGTGTGAGGGGTCTCAGACCTCCCAACCTCCCAGCCCAGAGGTCCCTTAACTCTGGGGCACTTTGTTAGAAGTACCTTCTTTAACCCAAATTCCCATCATGGTGGGACATGGCTTTTTTTCCTTTTTCAAGGAAATATTTAATCTGTCCAGCTCCCTCTGAGGTTTTCGGAGCACTGGTTGGAGGTTCAGGGCCATGCGGCCTCTGAGTAGCTACAGGACCTTTAGGATGCCCCCTACACAAGGTCCTTGACCTACATTTTTCAACCTGTCTGTTTCCCCTTTGGCCCCTGGGAACCTTGTTGTTATGGGTTTGATTTCTCTGCAGAAAAGAGTTGAAATTACAGCCAGTATTGTGTTACCTCCCAGCCCCAACCTTCCAAGACACTGTCTAGCTAAATACCTGTAAGTATTGAGTATCCACCATGTGCACAGGCTGAGAACAAAGGCAAGGTTCTTGATCCCGATGGCCTGAAAGAGAGACAGAAACAAATAAGGAATTTTTGTCGACTATTTTTGCAGATAGTTATGTTTATTATATATGATTGTCATGTCTGCTAGTTATGTGAGGAGGATTTCATTTTATAGAAATGAGATTGAGAAAATCTGGGCAAGGGGAAAGAGAGCCAGAATTGGGGAGGACAGTCTAGAATTGCAAGGGGTTGAGTTTGCACTGTGAATTAGTTAATCCAGGCCTCTCACATCTTACTTTTTCTTTAAGTGTTCATTTCCTCATTTGTAATATGGGAGTGAGACTGCCTAGCTCATAGAGCTGTTGCTGGGATTAAATGAGGTAATGCAGGTAATGTGCTTAGTATAATACCTAGCACAGAGTAAACACTCATTAAATTATAGTTGTTATTGTTGTTATTTGGCAGTGAGGAGCCAAAGAGCCTATTTTCTTAACCTCATCAATGGCGTAATCGGAGCTTTGATTCTCAGAAAACAACAAAACAAAACAAAAAAACCCTGCCTTTAGAAATAGAATCTAATCACCTTATCTGCCAACAGTTTATCTTCAGTCTGCCTTTCTGAGTTACCACTGTTTATTTCCACCCATTTGCCTACCTCTTGCACTAGTGGCCTACACCTTCTCTAACTAAGCTTAACTCGAACTTGCTGCTTCCTGGACTTATCTTCTCATCGCCAGGGTTCACATTCTTTTTGCTTAAAATGCCCTTTGCTCCGTCACCTGCACCACCTGCCCCACTTTTAATACCTAGCCCCAAAGTCCAACCCATGCACTGGGAGGGGTCCATGGAACTCATGGAGTTTACCATGTCCTGTCCTTCATTGTGGTCATCCTCTTTCTTGCATGAGGCTTGTGGGCTCCTTGCAGTTGTCTGCATCTCACAGCCCTTTGCTGCAGCATCCCTGGAGATTGAAGCACACACACATGGTGGGTGTTCACACATCCATGCAATACATTAACCTAGTGACTTTCTCAAAGCACACGATGAAGTGCCAACCAGAAAATAATCAACATGAGCTGCGTGCTCATTAGCTTTGGCAACGGATTTCTGGGAAAGATCTGGCACCTCCATAAGTGGCAGCAATGTCTTGTCTCTTTGCAGGAATTGAAGAGAATCCTGACAATCTACATGTTGGGAGAGGCCTGAAGGAAGACAGACCAGCTTACTCCCAGGGCCCTGTGGGTCCCCTGAGGCCCCCAGGTGATCTCCAGCAAGACCTGTGGTAAGTGAGTGAGCTTCATCTGCTGGCCCAGCCTGCTGGCCACTGCCAGAGCTGCCAGAATGGCAGGTGGAGCTTCTGTGGGCTGGGCTGGGACATTTAATGGGTTGGAGATTACTATCTTTTCGGTATCTGCAACTGGAAATATCTTATGCCCTTGATTAATTCATGCTTGGGAGCTTCCTCAGTGCTCTTTGGTAAATAGCTCCTTACTGTATGTTTATTTCCCCACGGGCTTATTTCAGAGAGACTGGAGCCTGTGTTTCTAACAACTTCTCCAAGGAAAACATCGCAGGCCATGTTTCCGGAACTGAGAATCTCAGGGGGTCTCTCAAACATCCATTTCTGTTACCTCCTTTTGGCCCAGCATTTGCTTTTAGCTGAAAAGGGAGATTTTTGTCTTGAGCCATCCTGTAGACATATGTGACTTGGAGTTTGAAAATCTGACAGCTGCTGCTGGGCTTTGAACTGCAAGGGTGAGCGGCATATAGACATAACCCTGTAGAACATCGAATCATTTTCCTTTAATTCCCAGGGCCTTAATGTTTCTTTGTTTTGTGAATGACCTCACTGCTTTCTGTATTTGTAATGGAATGCATAGTCATTTACAAGTAATCACACAGTAATCCCTTACACTTTTATAATGCCTTCCCTTTTCCAGAGGGCTTTCACTCTCATTATTTCATATGATCCTTATAACTGCTCTGAGAGGTAGGCAGAGTGGTTATTTTAATCTCTAATTTACAGGTGTAGAAATGGAGGTTTAGAAAAGTTAAACAGTTAGCCAGAGGTCAAACAGTATGGAACAGAATTGGAACTGGAATCTCAAGTAGTCTAAATCCTAAACCAGTGTTCCTTTTACTACTTACTGGTGGTGTGACCTTGAAATATACTCAAGCTCTCTGAGCCTCAGTTTTCCTATCACTAAATTGGGTATAATGCTGCCTCCAGAAGGAGCTGTCAGAGGGACTAAAGGAGACTGTCTGGGAAAGCGTTTAGTAAAGGGTAAAGCACACTACTAATGGCAGGTATTATTGTTCCTACTACATGGACCTTGAATTCAAACAGTGCATCAGAACTGTGAAAGAAAATAACATTTTTTTCTCTCTTTTTAAAAAGAAGCTGTGGTCCAGAATGGTGCTGGAGTTGTCAGGGATCACAAGCTCCCAGCCTTGTGATTAGCAAATTGACCCTGCTGCCCTGCCTGCCAGCTGCTTTGTTATTCTGAGGATTGTGTTGACAAGACCCTCCTTTCCTACAGAGCTCTCTCTCAGGGTTCCTTGGAACAGCCTTGCATTCTGGAGACAGTTTTAGGTCTCACAGGGCTGGAGAGCAGGAGTGGGGACCTGGGGACGGGATCTGCATCCCTGAGCTTCCTCACCAAAGGGGAGGAATGTGGTCTGGGCAGAGGGGCAGAGGTGGGTGGAGAGCTGGCCTTGAAGGCCTGTCTTTAGTTCTTCAATAAGCTAAAGAAGTCCATCTGCCTGGTATTTAATAGGGTGTATCTTGTGATTCCACAAGGCCAGCAGTACATATGGTGAATGGATTGCTTAGCAGTAACACATCGGGAAAAACCAAAAAGAATGGATTTCATGTTGGCAACTGATGCATTAGGAGTTAACAGTGTGATGTGGTCAGGAGAACAGCCAGAGTGATTGAGGGCTGAGATCTTAGAGAGCTTTGTTTCTATATACAGTCAGCCCTCCATGTCCATGAGTTCTGCATCTGTGGATTCAACCAACAACAGCTCAAAAATATAAAAAAAATAATGAACATAACAATTAAAAAATAATACAAATAAAAAACAGTACACTGGTCAGATGTGGTGGCTTGTACCTGTAATCCCAGTTGCTCAGGAGACTGGGGTGAGAGGATCCATTGCGTCCAGGAATTTGGGGCTGCAGTGAGCTATGATCATGCCGCTGCATTCCAGTCTGGGTGACAGAGCGAGACCCCATCTCTAAAACAACCCAAAACCCCAAAACAGGAAAACCCAATACAGTATAACAACTATTTATATAGCATCTACATTGTATTAGGTATTATAAATAATCTAGAGATAATTTAAAGTATGTAGAAGAATGTAAGTAGGTTATATGCAAATACTACATGATTTTATATAAAGGACTTGAGCATCTGTGGATTTCAGTTTCTTTGAGGGTTCCTGGAACCCATCTCCTACGGATACTGAGGATGGCTGTACATATTTACCTACAAAAATTTCAAACCTATGAGTCAGACATAGGTTGACACGTGGTCCTAAGAAACAGGATGAGGACAAGGGAGTTGAAGAATCAGGGAGCCAGATTTGGGTTCCAATAAGGAAGAACTTTCGGGTGCGAAGTGGAATTAACAGCTGCAGGAGACGATGATCTCTGCCTCACTGCAGACCTCAGGAATACCATGGGGAGATTCACGAATGGGGCAGGTGATGGGCTCCGTGGCCTTTAGGGCCTTTTCTCATCTTGAGATCCCAGAGCCAGTGGTTCTTCGTGGCTAGGAAGAAGAGAGGCACATATACATTGAGGAAGTGCAGGGTTCCATTGTATATGTGGAAACTGATCTCCAAGTGTCTTTTGCAAGATGGAGGGTAAATTTAAAGTCTTTCACTCTGGTTTTCATATCCACCCCTGTGGCTCACCTTGGTTTTAAGAGTTTCCAGGCCATCCCTAGGCAGTTCTTTTCCATGGGATGTCTCCTCTGCAGAAATACTCTTGATGGGATGCTGGAAGGGGTGTTCTGACAGATCAGAACCATTCTTTTCCCCTCTTAGGCTTAACTTTGAGCCCCTAGGAGGGCTGCAGTGGCAACAGCTCTGTGCTGAGTTCTGGTTCTGGCATGTGGTGGAAGGCTCTCTGATCTTGTTTCCTTATCTATTTTAGTAGTTACTGATATTTGTGTTCATTTATTAAACATGCAATAAATAAGGAATGTTTGCTTGTGGCATGCTTGTTAAAACATAAAATCGGTAAGCAAAATAAATGTGTAATGATTATTTGGATAGACCAAGTGGAAGCGGCTTTTAGAGCATGTCGTTGAACAATTTCTGGATATCCACCCAATTTGTGAATGAGAAAATGTAATCTACAGGAGGGAAACTGACTTGTCTAAAATCCTACTGAGTGACTGACATGGGCTTGGGGTGTGGGGCTCCTCCTTCCCCTGAGCAGTATAGGTTGTAGCTTGAAGGCTCCCTAGGGGTGAGAACAAACAGCCTGGTGCATGCTGGAAAGCCAGGCAATGGGTGATGATTCTGAAAAAAAAGGCTCATCTGACCTCCAGAAAGCCTTTACAGCCAACAGTAGAACACCATCACACAGGCAATAGGACCACTGGGAAGCCAGGTGTGGTACCTGGCTTCCCTTCTCTGAGCAGACCCCTACCTCCTCATACCTCCACTTTCCCCAGTGTCTCATCTCTCTTTCTACTCCTCTAACTCAGTCTGGAGTCATTTCAGATCAGAGTCATTCCTGATTGGCTTTACTGGTTCGACTGAGCCATCACAGAACCTTAGGGTTGGAATTAATTTCACAAATTAAACTGGGCAGTTCATCCCTGCATTTCCCCCAAAAGCAATGTTCTTCTGATAGCCTGGTTTTACTCTGAGTCTTCAAGCCTGGTGTCTGCCCCATGAAGAACACACACAAAACTAAGTTCCCGGGAGGACTCCCAGTCCAGGAGAGTCAGGGATCGGGGACTGAGGGGAGGAGTTGCTTTAGGACTCACCTGCCAGCATAGGAACTGTGACCTATATATTCTTGCCAACCTTCTCAGGTGCATCTCCCCCCAAATCCCTCCTCCTCCCCCAAATTAATAGATTTCATAAATGTAGTTGCATTCTGGATAGTCTCATTCCTGAGGTGGACTTAAAGCCTTTCAAACCAGTCGCTTCCTTGTTTGGTTTGGGGAGGCTTTTTCCAGTAACAAGTCAGCGTAAGGAAGGGTTGAGACGCCACTTCTTTGGGGGTTAATAATTTACTCTGAGTAAGGAATTCTGTCTTAAGTGGGGCATGTTCTTCAAGTGCCAGAGAAGAGAAGGGTGATTTTTCTGACATCCTCCAGTCTGCTTCTCCATATTTGGAAATGTTTACCCACCACACTGATCTATTGGAAGAGAAGGAGGTGACTCAGGGTTTAGGAGAAGCAGGATTTGAATTCTTGTTTCCAGAAACAAAGTCGTCCCCCTCCCCCGCCCCCACCCTTCCTTCTCCATTCCTCTGCCCCTTGTTCTGGAAGCTGAGGAGAGTGTGTTTCAGTTCTGTTCCCCTCGAGCTTCGGGACCACCTCCTTGCTGTGTCCTGTGGTGGACTGTGGGCCTGCGGCAGGGAGCCACGGCCAGCGGAAGGCCAGCTGCCTGTGGGGCCGGATGTCGAGTGAGTACGTTGTCACTGCCAGGCAAGTGGCATTTCTGCTGAGAGACTGGGGCTTATGGCCTGTGGGTCAGCTTGCTTGCAGGCGGTGGGACATGTTGTGGGGGGTGCTGGTAGCTTTAATTTGTGGGTGTGGACAGCTGCTTCCCCAGGGGAGAACTTACAGTGAGATTGAGAGACAAGGTCTGCCTAAGGAAAAATTCTATTTGTTTGTAAAAAAAAAAAAAAAAAAAAAAAAAATCAGACGGATATTTCCTCCCACATGAGGCCAAGCTTGAGTTGGGTAGAAAGATAATTTGGGAGTGTTGTCATCTATGTGATTGCTAGGGCTGAAGCAGCAAGCCAAAAGGGATGTTTGTGGACATTTGAGGAGGGGTGGTTTTAGCTTGAAAAACGGTTATGGTTGGACTTAAGGATATGCAAAATGTTGGTGTATAACATTTGTGTGGCATCCACAGTCTGGAATAAATACCTTACCTTATGTGCAGGATGTTGTGTAGATTTGATGGATTGTCAGAGTTGGAAAGAGTCTCAGAGATTATTCTGTGTATTGGTCTCATTGCACAGCATATAATGGGCAACGGAGACCCAGGGAGTGTAGCTCATTTGCCCTGAAGACACATGGCTGATTAG